GTCTAATGAAAACCCTCTGCTTTTTTTTTTTTTTTTTTTAGGAAGCCTTGGGGGATAGTCTTTTAATGTGCCTTGCTGCTGTGTTGCTGTTTATGTAACTTTTATGTAAGTAATAAATGATGAGTATGACTAATTTACAACGAAACCATTTTACAGTAAACTGGCTGGTAAACAACGCAGCAGTGTAGTTGGGCTCCTCTAAGAAAGAAGGTAGTCTGTCTTGAATGCAGTCATTTGCAGTACAGTATGTTCCTTCATTCTTTACAGCGAGTCGGCGTAGAATCCGATGCCAGTGTGACTCTGGTTAGCTTTACACAGTAGATTATCACAGGAAAGGGGAAAGGTAAGATGGAGTAAAGCCTGTTACGTGAGCAGGGTTTCTAATCTCATCATAGCTTCACAGTGCGTGTAATATTTTCCCATCACCCTTCTAGCTCTACAATAATAACTCACTAGAACCCTGTTGTGTTGCATGATGCACTCCGACATGAATGAGTAAACTGATAAGTCTTTGTATGGGGAGCGGGATATTAGTATGGACTCTACATCGTGGGACATCAATAGCATCATGCCTGTGAGAAAGTCATTACGCAGAGGCAGAGTATAAATATTTTATGTGAAAATATTATTTCATCTTATTTGTCTTCCTTTTTTTTTGTTAGTTCCCTTTGAAAATAGTGTGATTGTTAGATACGGCCGTATTACTTCATACACATGAAAGTAATATTAATACCACAAAACACACAATTATCTGTGACTAACATAGTTAATGTGATTGTTAAACACCAAAGACACATTTCAAAACTGCTCTTGTTGGTATAAAAAGTTGAATCTTGAATGCATAATGAGGGCGTACTTCTGGACTTTTTGGCACTTCCTGTCAGTCTGTTCCTGGTCATAGATTTCCTGACTGTTGCAGGGATGCCAACGCTAGACCTCTGATTCGGCCAACCAGCAGCTCTATGTCCATTACTTCCTCCATCTCTCCACATATGGTTTACCTGCCAAGGAGAATACAATAAATGACTGAAAATGCACTCTTCTTCATTCAAATAAATGGTTTTCACATATACCTTTACTATGAAACTATGGTAGCAGCCCCTAAATTGCATCTACTATTACAACTACGATCAGTCACATTATAATAATTACACTAAAGTTTCATGGCACCACTTAGTATCAGGTGGATAGTAAGGCTGCACTATTAATCGCAATATGGCCGAGTGCAATATCTAAATTGGAAGCTGCAATTTTTTGATAAAATGTGTGTCAAAACAGCATTATAATCTGTGTGCTATACTACTATACCATGGCTTTCAGGGGAGCTCAGTGTTTTTTAGGGAATAATGGTGATTTGGATAGCAGACTGAACTTTGAGTCAATGTGATTGAAGTTCTATGATATTGTGCCACCATGTTTGGATGGTGATGGCAGGGATGGTGATGAAATGCCCTCATTCATGAATCATACATCAATAATTGCCCAAATCTATGCATGATCCATGATGATGAAGATTATTTAAAAAAAGAATAGGAATGCATTGCAAAAATGTTCAATATAGTTTATATTTTAGACCCCCCCAAAATTTCATAAATCATGTTTTCAGGGAGCTTAAAATTGTGATGCCACATGATCATTCCCACTAACATTAATCATATTGTATTTGCAGTATTTGTCAAAATAATCAAAAAAATATTATTTTACCATATCATGCAGCCTTAGTGCATAGGTACATTTTTACAGCATCTAGACCTTTTTTATGCTCCATACAGGTAGATTCAGGATTGGTAAAGATTGTTACAGCAACCTCTTCATTTTTACAGCTCTTTTCATACTTTATCCACCCTGAAAAAGAGATTTCCCCGTCCTCAGATACTCTATGTTTTGTGCCCTTGTAAAGAATTCATTTGACTAATCAGAGCACTTTATGCAGCATGTATTTTCATGAGTGTTAGTTTAATCACCATTAGCGTGCCTCTGTAATCTGCCCACGCTCTTTGACATTGTGTTGACAGGGACACAGTGCTAAGAATAGAGAAGCAGGGAACAATAGAGCTGAACTTTGATGGTCAGTAATGGCGCGTGAAAGGCAAGCAATCACATGGTTGTTCTTTGCTGTGCGGCCATCATGGTGATGGAAAACTGTGCTTGCTGTCTCAGCTGTAACAGCAAAGCTTCTCCGTGGTAGGTCCATCTGTTTACTCCACTAACGTATGCATGGCAAAGTGCACAAGGCACTGAGACACAAGATGGCTAGACCATTAGGGTCCTTTCTGCTGTGCACTCTATTTTTTAATATTGTTGTATTGTACAGTGTACTTACACTGCACAGGTGTATCAACACACTCTCCAGCTAGAGAGCAGTGTTTCACAGTGTTTCTCATTTCTAATACATGCCTCTGAAACGCATACAAATCATGGCGGTGGCTTGAAACAGCACTCGTTAACTACATTCTCAGCCATGCTCAACCATGACATCAGCTGTTCACCTGAGTTGAGCCCGGAGATGCCAGAGGACGACCCGAGGCTACCAGAACGTGTGAAACTGTAACGAGAAACGTTGTCTCGCCATGATTAATGCACGATGTTCCCCCACTTCCACCCTCAGCCTCCAGGACAGTGTGTGTGTGTGTGTGTGTGTGTGTGTGTGTGTGTGTGTGTGTGTGTGTGTGTGTGTGTGTGTGTGTGTGTGTGTGTGTGTGTGTGTGTGTGTGTGTGTGTGTGTGTGTGTGTGTGTGTGTGTGAGTCGTTGTATATTTGCTTAGGTCTACATTGTACATGTTTTATTGGAACATGAACAGTGCTATGATGGGTACATGCATAAATTACGTTTTGTCTGTCAGTAGTTGCTTCTTTTTTGTTTACGACTTCCATCTTCACGTGAATTTGAGAACTCCTATGACAATAAATATTAAACAATGAGTGCATGATGATTTAATAATGCAAGTGGAACAAATTAATAGTTCATTATGGTCTATGGCTTATCTATTCTATCTTAATCATGTAAAGAGCCTGACCAATATGGGATCTTTAAGACCAATATTGATGCAAAGGTCATCATGGTTCATTTTATATTAGTGTTATTGAAAACAAGAGGGTCATTTTTAATACAGAAGTGCACAGTATTCCTACCTTGCAGCATTGACCTTTAAACAGTCAAATAGCATTAAGTCAAATATTTTTGAATGACTCCATGCTGGCGGAATCCAAAGGGTACCCTCAATATTTGTTTGGCTGTCTCTAATAAATACACTGATAGCAATGTTTGAATTCACAGTTTTGTCTTTAATAGCTCAAAATGAGCTGTGGAAAAAGGAATGATCTGCCCCTCATTGGTATTGTCTAATTCTAATTCAAGTCATCTGACCACTATACAATTATTTTTGGGTCTTGGATAAATAAAGGTCCATCTCTAAATTACCTTTTTTATTTATTTATTTTCAGTCACTGAAAAATGTATCTACTCACAAGCTTTAGAAGAAGGCAAGCACTCTAAGTCAGGCTGCTTTAAATACCATAGCACTGAGCCTGCAGTGCTCCATGTCTCCCCTGATATTTTGATGGCTGCAGATCAGTGATCAGTGTTGGTGCTCATTGACCTCAGTGCAGCCTTTGACTCAACCTATCAGGCTCCACTGATGAGCAGACTGATGCAGTGGGTCGGTGTGTCACAGTTTTAATGATTAACATCCTGCTTTTAAAATAGAAATGTATAAATAGATATTTGTTGTGTATATTCGAAACTTGTATTTTAAATGACTCAATTCTCATTCTTAGTCATATTCTGCATTTCTGTTCATATTCAAAGACACAGTATTTGTTGACATAACCATACATTTTAGTTGTCGATTGAAGGTTAAATGTTGTATTACATCATATGACTGACAAATTAATGGCTCTTAATGTTATTTCTTCTGCATACAAAGTTCCCTTTGTCTTATTATATTTCAGCAGTTCTTAAAATCTATTTTTAAAGTTTCAGGGTGCAAGATAGGAATTTTATAATCACTTCAGCTGCTTGGCTGCACCTTTTAAAAACCCCTCTGCCAGAAAGCTTGGAGTAATTTTTGTCTTGGCCTCATATTATCATCTGTATTGCTGTTGTCAAATCCCACTTCTCTAAAGTATGCTTAATCATCTCTAAGATCAGGCCTTTTCACTTGTCCCATTTAAGAAAAGGCTTTTTCATGCCTTTACTTCCTCTAGGCTAGATTACTGCATGGTTATTTTCTTCTCTGAGTCAGAGCAGCAACACAGCTTAAATTTACAGTAGAGAACAGATTCCCAATCACTTACACAAGCCTGTTCCACATTTCTCATCTTCTAAGTCTGTACCAGCAGCTCTTTGACTCCGGAACATCCTGTCTAAACCTTTAGGCCAGATTTGAAACTCTACATACCATACAGTCTAGCTAGATTTGATTCATTTAATTGTGGAATGAATGAATTAAAATTATTATTGGGAGTAATAAATGGTATTGTTAGGCTGTCTATCAAAGTCAGCTATTTGGTGAGAGGGTTCTTTTGTTTTCAGATTTGTAAGTAGTTGTCCTCATTGTGGTGTGCACTTGTCATTTCTGTGGTTGCCCTTTAACTCATAAAGCAGTAAGCCACCATTTAGGTGTCTATTGTGTACAGAGGCAGTGATCTACAGAGGCTGTGTGTTATCTCTCTTTGTTTGAGGAAACTGACAGAACGTTTAAAGGTATGTGACAACACTTAACAACGTTTTCAGGGAAGGAAGGCATTAGGGATTGATAAATTTGGGCTGGTGCATGGTGGTGGATAGGCACTGTATGTTTAGTAGGTCAGAATTTGGCCGTGTGTGAGTGTGTTTGTGCATCTCATCAGAAGTGCTGCCTGTTTCCTGTGATTGAACATGCCTGTGTGTGTTCGTGTTCACTATGCCTGCTTTTTTTTTTTGATTATCTTAACTTGGTCATCATCACCCTCGGCCTTGCCTGTACCTTGCAGTCCTATCACCTCCCTCTAACCTGTAGGCATTAACTACGTGGAGACAGCGACACACTGACTGGCACAAGACGGACCTCACTCTCCGATAGGGGCACAACCAGGGTCGACAGTGTCTTCCTCTGCTGCAGCAACTTCAAAATGAGTACAAAGTGACAACAAACAACCTCCCAGCCTTTTCACAACATCAGCATCAATATTCAAGGGCTGACAGTTGGTGCCTTCCTCTTTAGCATTAGCAACAGCAGCTAAGGTAACAGCTTTGGCAGCTTGGACAGTAGCATAGCCAAAGTGTAAGCGAGTGTGTGTGTGTAACCTGGCCTGCCAGTCCCTGGGGAGGACCAGCAAAGGAGTTGTGTTACACTCCCTGACAGGCCTTATACATGTTTCATCTGCTGCTCTCAGAACAGAAGCCCCCTTTGTTATCTAATCCAGCCCTCTCTTCCCCAGCCTGAGAGACTGAGTTTACTGCCACAAGACTGCTCTTCACAGTCTGTCAGCCAGCCACTGAACTGATACATATCAACCAACAGCTGAGGAGCAGCAGAAGGACTTAAGATATCTGCTATCAGGACTTACTAGCCAGTCTTTCAGTCCATTGGCTGGCACATGGAGAGGGTTTTAAAATAAACAAAAAGAACAGAGGTCCACCAAAGATTGTCAAGAATCTAAATTGTGCCTCATCTCTTCAGCACTAAACCTCAACTTTTCTTCAGCTAATAGCTCTTCAAGCTGCAGAACTACAGAATTTGCAATTCTTTTAACCAGGGATCTAAAACAAAAGTGCTTTACGGGGTTGTATTTGCATTTTAGAAAGATAGTCAGGACCATGAGCGACACTCTTAGACCCCCTTCGCTCCAGGTGAGCGTTCCAAATGACGTTCCTGCATACTCCGACGGAGGGAGCAACATCGTGTCAGATGGCTCCATGCGATCCAGCTCCTCAACCCCGACACTCCGCCGCAAGCGCTTCAAGATGCGTCGTATGAGGAACGTGCCCAGCGAGAAGGAGATCGATAGGGGGCGGCTAGCTGTCGGTCACCTGACGACCCGATCGCGCTCCAGCTCCAAGGAGTACCTTCAGCTGCCCTCCATTGAGATCACACCATCCAGTGACGAAGACGCCCCATCTTCCTGGTCGAGATGCTCCACTCCCAGCGCCTCTCCGCAACGCAAGCGTTTCCTGTTGAGGAAGTGGCTGAAGGTCCGAGAGAAGAAAGAGCAAGGCAGTGAGAGCAGGTTGGTATGGGCCCACCCTACTCACCTCTCCCCATTCCCTTCTTCTCCCCACATCTTCCCCTAATACCTCCATGCTGCTTCAGGACTCCTGCTACCTGCACTAATGGTTGTACCACTAACTCAAAGAGAGTTAATATTTAGTTGTTGCTCTTTAGCTTGAGGTTTCTTTTCACCTTCAGAGGTTGATGCTTGTGCATCAGCAAGACCTAGAGGCAGTTGCAGTGATGGCTTTTGTAGAGATTCTTATGTTAAATCTGAAACACAGCATACATTTTCTGTATATATTAAATGTAGCACCATTGGCCCCAGAGAAACAAAAATTCAACCTGTCTGTGTACTTGTATTTGGATGAGTTGACAAAAAAGTTCCCTTATGAGTCTTATCACTTGGTCAAACTGTTGTCGTTTTCCTGTACTAATTGAGCAAAAATCTGCATCCCCCGCATTTTTTTCCAGTCTAGTGATGTAGCATGTTTGGTTTTTTGTTTTTTTGGTGACTCATGAGGCTGTTTTGTAGTCAGAATTGGGTGACTTGGTTCACTTCAGAGTAGTGGGGAAACAACATCCTTGAAGAAAGCTCTAAATGAAATTAAATCAAAAGACAGACAAAAGCTGATTGAAGTAAAAAGTTCACCAACATGAGCTGCTAAAAGGACAGTTAATGGCAAAGATTGTTACACTTGTTAACAGCAGAGGACAGAATCAAGTCAAATTTGAGCAACACAATACAATATTGTGTGTTCAAAACAAAGGGCTCATTAGATACTGCACAGTCATTTGAATCTTAAAAGGTTGGCTTGACAGCAGTACTAGTGGAAAGGTTGAGGGGTTTACAAAATCAATAGGTTTCTTCCTTCTGGATGCATGTGATGGTGGCCGTAGACAAATGTCATAGGGCCAATAAAGCAAAGCCCCTTCCTTAATGAAGCGTGGTAAATGAGCATATGCAGATTGGATGGGTAGTAGTTAATAAGAAAGCAAGACAAAAAGTGTTTGGAATGATTATCCAATGTTTTCAGTTGATTTCAGTTCATTAAAATCAAGGAGAGGCATAACGTGAGAAGGAACAAAAGTACTTGAATCTGGTTACTATACTATAAACTTAAGATTTCGATCAAGCTCTACAAAATCTTGCAAACTTACTTGATCAGTTTCATTTATGTTTCTATGAATTTACTTATGTGGAGGACTCTTCGTAGTATTACAAAGATATGCCAGAAAGAACTGTTCTGATATAAGATACAACTTATTTTTTGTTGTGTTTTTATGAATATAGTCATGATTGTTGTTGTTTGATTGTTATTTTACCTGACAGTTTGGCGCTGTCCCTGGTGCCTTAAGATAATGCACTGAGCTTAGATCCATCACTGAGTTGCATTTAAGGGAAAACAAGTCAACGACAGCAATTTTTTCCCATTCGTAGCATTTTTCTAGTACACCAATTTAAGTTAAACCTTCTGCTTGCTTCATTGTATTTTTCTAATGAGTCATGGGAAAATTGATCGGACGTGACCCACTTTCACCTTTTCTGGGAAACAGAGTCATGTTTTTCACAGTCTATGACAGTTCTTAGAGGTGAAAAATTTAATATCTGGTAGTTATTTCTCTTCTGTCTTTGCTATATCCTAAGAGTTACTGGTAACAGATGGCAGACAGGAACAGGTTTCTTACTCACTCCATCAATGTGTTATCTTTCTCTGAGTGGAAGACACCATCTCCCCAAAGGCATGAGTGCATAACCCCAACGACACCACTGAGTGTGAAATGCTGTCATTATCCAGCACGTCATGAGTACAGCCCTGCACCCCCTCAGGGTGTACCATGGACTGTTCTAACAAGCGCCCCTCAGCTTAATACCACACCGTAGCATTAGGAAGACATGGCTCCGCCTCAATCTCCTGCTGTTACTAGCTGCATGTAGTATATAAGAAATTCTACAGGCTTAAAGCAGCGTGGGAGTGACATAAATAATCCAGGTCTTCATGTTTATCAGCATTTAATTATTGATGAAGCAGAATAGCAGGTTTTGTTATTTAAAGTTGTATCCCATGTCCTTGCACATAAGCTTTTCTTATCAGTAGCAGCACTGTTGTGTTTATTATTATTGCCTTGTGTGTTCATCATTTTTGACAGCCTGTTTGTTTCAGAATAGCACATATATATAAGGTATTTCATGAATGCATATTGGCTCTGGTGTTATAGCCATGCAGGGGTTGGAAGGATGGTTAGGAAGGAAGTACACAGGATGCTCACTGATGATGATGATATACATAAGATTCAGCTTGTGTTGTTCTTACAGTGGCTGCACCTGCAGCAATGCAAGGCAAAGCAAGTTTATTTCTATAACACCCTTCAACAGCAAGCAAGTGCTTGCCATAACACTAAATGCTAAATAGGCTAAAATGGTGTGCGTCAGAATAAACATAGGAATAAGAAATATAGTGCAGCTACAGTCCACATCAACAGAAGTTTAATTTCAGGCAGAACCATCAGACGTAGTTTTAAGCCTAAATTTAACTGAGAGTTGGAGCTAGATATCAAGAGTTGCAGATATTGCAGATATGAGTTGCATGAGTTTTGACCCTGGGTAAAATAAGCAAACCTTTCCCTGGTGAACTGAGAGGTCTGAACTGTTCAAAACACAGCAGCAGATTAAATAATGCAATTTTGTCCCTTAGCCATTCAGTGCTGTAAAAAGCAAAAGTATTGTTTTAAATTCAACAGGAAGCTATTGCAAAGGTCTGAGAACTTGACTTATATGTTCCACTTTCTTGGTCTCAGGGCTTTTTTCTAACAAAACAAAAAAAAACATGTGCATCATGTAGCCCAGTTGGATATTGAAAGTATTTATGACGGCCACATTCGAAGCTTAGGGGAGAAGCTCAAAACCTGCTTCTCACCTGCTGACCAATGTGTGAAGTGGGTGTAAATGTCAGATTGTTGGTGGCAGAAAAGTTACAGAAATTGGTGGATACATAGCACAATCTGCAAATATGTTGTTGAATGTATCTGTCAAACAATTATACCAAGTGGAAGTGTAGACACAAGATTTTCTAACAATAATGCCTTGTTCTGAATAATAGTTTGAATTTGGGGGGGGGATGTTCGACAATAGCTATTCTTTTATGAATACTTTCTTAAAAGTTAAATGCACAAAGTCACTAGTAACAACTGTGAAATGATTTTAGTGGAGTAAAAACTATAATATTTTTCCATGTGAATATAGTGGAGGAGATTGTATTTAAGTGCAGTGGTTGAGTAAAGTATGTCATTTGTTCCACTCCAGTCCATGGTGATTGTGACTGAACTACTTATAAACCAGTTTTGTAAATATTAACTCTAAGCAGGAGACCCTTACTGTACTTGTATCAGTTTTGGTCTGACTGAGATAAAGTAGTGTAAAAATGTCAAAGTTTTAACTATGTGGTTGAATCTTAAAAGTCAGTCTTCTGTGTCAGTGTAATGCTTACAGTACATTGTTTGTCAATTCCACTTTTTAAGACACTGGACCTTTTTCCTCCAGCAATGATGACACTCATGACTGCCCAGCACTTTGACCGTCTAAAGCTTTTTCTGTGCCATAAAATATGTACCTGGTTCAAACTCCTAAAACTTGTCTGTGCTTAAACTATTTCAACTACAGTTTGTCATTATTATCAGTGTTCATTTATGACAGTGAACATGAACAAAGTGTGCAGAACAAAAAGTTTTTCTTGAATGTCATTTACTCATAAATACAGTTTGTATTTTGGCTTGAAACCTGCTGACATTGGCCAGTTAATATACAAACATTTATAGTTAATGGAATACTCGTGGTGTATTTATGGTGTAGTGTGAACACTGTCAACACTGACTTCTCCTCACAGAAATACTGTAAGTATTCACACAAGGTTTTTAATTCAGTGCGGAGCCTCAGTGCTGTGATGTTGCCTTTTCGATTAACAGTAATGATTAGATTGATTAGATCAGAACTGAAGTCATGCAGAGAAGTGTAAATCTCGCTGGTTTAGAGATTATTTGAAATGCATGAAATGTGGAATGTAGTTTTCTGATCCAGCTCCAGCTTTCCTTCACTGAGACGGAGGCTGTTTTCTATTCATATTGGTTTAAATCCATAAAGGTTTTGTGATGAGGTATAAAATCATGAGAATATTTTTTTTTAATTGAGTGTTGCCAGTGTGCACAGTCCTCACTGTTGTTTGTTCAGTTCCATTCGTCACTCCATCTCAGTCTTAATCTCGTCATTCTCTCTCGTCTTACTTCCTGTGGTATATCAGAGCAGTGGACTGTCAAGTGTGCGTGTGTGTGTGTGTGTGTGTGTGTGTACGCATATGCATATATGTGTGTGTGTGTGTGTGTGTGTGTGTGTGTGTGTGTGTGTATGTCTGGGAACAGTGGAATCTTGCAGACACAGTGGAATCTGCTGTTCTGCAGGCTGATAAGAGCAGGGCTATTTTGAGGAAGTGGTGCAGTATCTTTCACCAGGCTTCACCGCTTCAACCTCACCCAAACATTTAAATATTTCAGACACACAAGCTCTCACAAAGTTAGCATTTGAAGAAATGGTAATATGTCTGCCAGTTCTTCAAATTGCTTCATTACAATTGCGGTAAGATGATTACCTTTTATAAAATGATAATTTCATCAGGTTTTAGGTAACTGTTAACAATGTTGCTGGTTCTGATTGCAATTCAGACTATAGTAAATACAACAGTTATTATAAGTTACAATATATTTACACCAGTGGCAGCCAAATGTTGAAGAGCCATGCGGCTAGAAGACAATGAGATGTTTAAAAATATTCACATATGATTCAGATTTGGATCAGATCAAAAATAAGAATTCTTTAATCACAGAAACGCTGTGTTCTCCTGGACGTTTTGCAGTGTATGTTGGAAAAAAATATAAAATAATCCATCTTTGCACATTTTGTGTACTGTCTACTTTAGATGGTTGCAACTCTGCCTTGACAGTGTTCTGTTATGCGTCCTTGCTATCATGTTCAAAGCACATATTCAATCAATTGTGTATGAGTAATGAATAATTCAGTGAGGGCACATGTCAACTTTCTGTCCTTGTGAAGTCAAATGAACACGCGCTAAAGGGCAGGGATACAAGTATAAACTCTTTCATACACCTGAACATACACATCTGCAGCACATGTGTCTTCCCTTTTGAGAGAACAGCTTGCAAACACGCCGCACCTGCTGCAGAGGGGGCATGAGCTAAGATCTGAGGGACCGTTTCTGATACGTGGTGGTAAAAAGTTTGCAATTTCTGAATGAATCCACTAACAGTACTCAGTCAGCATGTATGTGCAGGGTCATAAATCACAACTGGTGCGCCATTCTGCACTTAAATTCTGACCTTTTTTAATGAACTATACATATTTTCAACCTTAATGCAGCTGTATTTCACTGCACGCCACTCATTTAGAGATTAATACTTTTTAAAGCTGACTTTTATTTAATGACACACTGTCAAATATTCATTTTGACAAGTCAATGAGTGTTAAACGGGTAATTTGTTTTAGTTGTTTAGTTTAATTGAATAAATATTGAGTATATTATAGAGAGAAAATTTGAGAAAAATATATACAAGGCTCAATACAAGGTTAAATAATTGTGGAATCGCTACTATGGAGTTCATAAAATATTATCAGAGTTCATCTACAGTGTGTCGAAAGTTTCTCAACTCTCAAAATCTGCTGTTAAAAACATTCCAGCTTCCCATCTAGCCTTGTGTTGAGCAGTGCTACTATTGGAATAGGGTTTGTGCACCCTGCAGAGTTAGAGTGTGAATTAATGAAGAGCTTTCCCAACAGAACTGCTTTATACTTAAATGTCAAAGTGCCAAAGTCTTTATGCTCAAGGATTCTCTATTTTTCATTTACACATCTGTAGCCCTCTTACTCATGATCAGAAGCCTTATCTTTTGCATAGCCTGTGTCAGATAGCCCCCTCTAGTGTCATCACTGGTTATGTGCAGGTACAGGACAGGACTTCCACCATTATCCAAGCAGACAAAGTTGCCATGTACATGTTCACTATTGCCATTATATATTTGACAGTTGCTGCATATATTTGACGCTTAATTTGCAGGATCTTGGGCAGCTGATGGTATGCCCTGCAGCAACAGATTTATGACTTCTTTTTTTTTTATGACACTTTTGCTCAGCATAATCAGGTGCTAAGCAGTGAAAAATAAACTTAACTGCCTAGTTTATACAAGAGGGTCTATTTATGCCATGCATGTTTTTCACCTAGTGGTTTTTTTAGTGTGAGCTGGGGAAAATATACCACAGCAGTTTTCATGGTAACTAATAAATTAGAAAAACCCTGATTCATGAGATTACTCACAATTACCTTTCCTTAGATAACAACACAAGATGAAATGTGTGTACACCATCAAGTTTACTGTTCAGTAACTTTATCTTTCATGTGCAGCAGCCAGCAGAGCAGTCAGCAAAGCAGCCAGCAGAGCAGCCATGAAGATGACAACACTCGCTTCTTGACTCCGTTCATCCGAGAGGAGAGGTGAGCTATATGTGTGTATGTTGATGTGTGTGTGTGTGTGTGTTACCTCCATATGGGCATCATTCTTAGGTCTGATTTTCACAGTTTTTATTTAAAAATTAAATGTATTCTTTTTATTCTTTTTTTTATAGCTATATTAGAGTAAATTTGATGGCAAGTCAGGGCACATCCAGTACAGTTTTTGTGTCTTTTATTTTCTAGTCTACCAGGTCACATGTGCCACTTGGAAGAATAATCTCAAAATGTCTAATGTATTTCCTAGTTTCTGGTCACATCAGTCTATGTCTTTCATGCATTCTCCACAAGGGGGCACTTCCCCTTAATACTGGTGGACAAAGGTATTGATATCTCTTTCATTGTGGCTTTTTAGTTGATCTATTTATTTCCCTTTTAAAATACAAATTCAAGCAGCCTTCAGCCACAATAAACATGATTTCTTGGGAAATACTTATTCTGTGCAAATTGAATACAGACTTATTCTGTACAAATAGAGTAATGTCAGTGATATTAATGAAGACTGATGAGTGTGTTTGTGTTTTTGACTTTGAAGGCATATTGACAAAAGGCCAATTTTGTCAATATTAGCAGTGCTTTTTCTGGGGTATCTGCCTATTTAATAGCCATGTAATAGTGCCCATGAGTAACTACGCCTACAGTAATTGTTGCCTCTTCTTCCCCATGGCTCAGTTTGAGTTGAGAGACAGGCAGTATCATTAGCTCTTTATCACCTCGGAATATGCTGCACTTGTCACAGGAGCACCAGTGACAGACCTGGACATAAAATCAGTTATTAAACCTGCGTGTGTAGGTGTGTGTACGTGTCTGTTTTAAGTGTGTGTATGTGTGCCTGGTAGCCTGGGATGTGATATGCGGTTTCATTTTTTATTCCTGATGTAAAGCCATGCAGCCAGGAGGAAACTCGTTGAGCAATTTCTTGCCTGCCAACACATTAGGAAGAGGATGTATCAGGATAGTAGAACTATCATTAACATTATTGAGATTGTCATATTGTCTTTTTTTGGGCTGAGATACAGTTATGACACACAAAATGACGGTAAAAAATAGGAAAGGGGTCAGTCTCCAAATACTCAACATTACACTAAAGATACAGCCCTGATTGTGATCAATGATTAGTGTCTGTCTTTTTGGAAAAGGTCCCAGATGTTCGATTTTCCCACTAGCACATAAATGCAGTCAAATAAAGGATTACCTTTATACCAAACCCCAGCCAGATGTAACACATTTAAACCCTGGGCAAAGGTATTGAGCTTGAACTGTATAAGTCTGTAGAATTAGCAGAGTAGTTATTAATAATCACAGCCTTCTTACAAAAACCGCAAGGCAAGAAAATACAGGAATACACAAAGATTTCTTCTGTAGCATCTGCAAAACATAAGATAATGTTTCCAAAAATAGAATGCAATCCGGTGCTTATTCCTGTTACATAGTTACTGGCTGCACAGAGAAGCTGCTCCTGCTGCTGCTGCTGCTGCCGTTGCTGATTCTGTCGTATGTTAATACCGTAGTAATACCTAATTTATCCAGAAAATGGTGAAGGAATGTTCTGATAAAAGTGTCGGGAAACGTGTTGGAATCTCCTTCGTCTGGCCTCATATTAACCACCCACTCAGCTGTATTTGCCTCTCTGCTCTGTCTACCGTTCACTACACCTCCACTCTTTCTCTGTCCTGCACTCCTTCCCCATGTTCCTCTCTCTGGCTCTCCCTCCCGCGCACTCTTATCGCTCAGTGTCTCCACTTGCTCGAATTAGGAAGCAGTACCTGTCAAACCTATGGGATTTCTCACTGCTCTTCTCTTTGCTGTGCTGGTGATAGCTAGTAAGGGGCGTCTGCAGCAGCTGCAGGGAGAGCAGCGTTCTGTAGCCGGCTTTAGAGGGCACGGAATGTCATGTATCCTCTGCAGGTAAAAACAGCTGCATTTCTGCCTGGAGGCTTGCACCGTTGCTTCTCTACCTGTCTCTCTGTCTCCATCAGGCTTGTTTTGCTCTTACCGCATCTGTCTGTTTGTCTTGTGTGCTGCGGTTTGCTTACTGTGCTATGTGCAGCTGCATTTTCTGGTGAAGTGACAGCAGGCTGTCGGCTATTATGTACCACTAGCTGTGATTTTGGCTGCGCACTGCCAGATTATCAGGGCATCCGTATGGTTCAGGGAGAGAAACTAATGAAATTCAGATGATTACACGAGGACAAGTTTGCTCATTTGTGGTCATTTTTGTATATTTGCATCTCAGGCTTCTGCCAAGTTCAACTCCCCCACTATAACTGCGGATAGAGTTATGTAATAACACAATGTGACTTTGCTCAGGCAATGTAATATGAGTCATTAGTGGAGATGACGCAGCACATGATTGTGAGTTGTGAATTGAGATTAAACACTGCGAGACATGTCGATTTATAGTATAGAGTATATATTTATGTAACTACAGGGTAATTGCAATATTTCACTCTAATCTGTCTATTAACGGCATGTGAGTACTTTACAAAGTACTTTACTAAGAGCAGACCTCTAGTTTTCTGGGAGTTTATTCCAGATATGTGGCACATAAAGGCTTCCATGGTAAATTTTGACTTGGGGACAGTAACAGACCTGTTTTTTAATTTTTTAAAAATTAAAAAAATTTTTTTTGTTTTTAATATTTTTTTTTTTTTAATTTTTTTATTTTTTTTTTTTTTTTATTAAAAAATTTAGTTTAGTTTAGGTTTTTTTTTTTGTTTTTTGTTTTTTTTTTTTTTTTTTTTTTTTTTTGGGGGGGTTTTTTTTTTTTTTGTTTTTTTTTTTTTTTTTTTTTGGGGTTTATAAAAAAGGATATAAAAAAAAAAGAAAAGGGAAAAAAAAAGTTTTTTTTTTTTTTTTTGGGGAGTTTTTACCAAAAATATTATTAGGATTTTGGAGGATCTATTGACAGGCATTGGATATAACCATAGGTATGTTTTCTTCAGTGTATAATCACCTGAAAAGGAATCTTAATAGTTAATTAACCTTAGTTTTTTTTTTTTTTTTAAAGGGGGGGGGGTCCTCTTTTCTAGGGCCTCCATGTTGAACTGCCGTGTTTCTGCAGCACAGACAAACCAGACACGGCCTAGATAGGGCCGTTCGCATTTTTCGTAAGTTTTGCAGTCATCGGACTGAGCTGTATCGAAATGGTTGCAATTTGCAACTTCACCACTAGATGCCACTAAATCCTACACACTGGTCCTTTAAGTGAAGGAAATTGTAGCACATCCAGTCATTGATTTGTTTGATTACTCAGTGCCCACTCAGTATGGGACCTTTTTTTTGGGGGGGGGGGGGGGGGGGGGGGGGGGGGGGGGGGGGGGGGGGGTTTTTTTTCAATTTTTTTTTTTTTCCATAATCCCAGCATGTAGATGGTGGAGCGGTATATGTACAGGTGTAATAACACTACTTTATAAAACACTACAATGTAGTTGTAAGCAGACATTAAGTGTTTATTAATGTATTTGTCAATGATTGTAATTAATGCTTGATAACACAAAATAACATATTTGTATTTATATATAATGGTTATACATATATAATATATATTATAAAATTACACACATGAACAAATCCATACAGTGGATTCTAAAGGATGTATCAATTCTAATACATATGTACAAAACATTCAAGCATGGATTTAAAGCTGTGTATATTATATTAGAATTTATGATTAAAACTGGATTATATAATGTTATTAATCATACATCAGCTATTTATATACCAGTCATGGATGCTTTAAAGGAGGTGTTATTAAGGAGTCACAGTTGTTTACAAAGATGGTAATAATTAAACTGATTACCATTAATCAATTATTTATATATGGCCTAAAATGGTAACTAAAGTGATGCCAAGTAAATATTTGTATTAAATATTACTATTGTTAATTGTGAAAGTAGTAGTGCAATGTATAAGACAACATTGAATTTAAGCTGAATTCTCTCTTCTCCTGTGCAGGTCTGACAGTGCAGCGGACAAAATCAGGTAAGTCTGCTTTCTGACTACTCATCTTTTACAGTACCTATAGAAGCGTGAGTGTGCATCGTATGTTTGTGGGCTTATGGAGCACAGATACAGTGGGACCGGCCTTGTTGTCACCCCATTTGCCCCGGGCCGCCCACCCCGCATGTGACACAGATTCACAGCTTTGTCCGCTAACCAAGGTGTCTGAATGCGCTTTACATTTGGAGAGGCCAGCAGTGAATACAGTTGCAAGCCATGGAATGCCATTGTTTGCTTTTATTGGACAAACAACATCAGACACAAACAGGGCTTTGTGAGTTCGACACTATTGTGGAGCTTTTAGTCTTTTAGCTAGGCAGCCGGTGGCAGGTCAGCACTGTGGACACACACTGTGGGCACAGACGCTTTATTCTTCAGGGTGCGAAGGCTTTGCTGTCACAAGAGACACTGTGCCAGTCCTGCAGCAAAGGGATTCAAGGCACAAGCTGTAAAGGTGAGTGATAGGTAACGATTTTAGTCTGCGGTGCACCTCATGAGAAATGTTGGAACAGGACAATTTTATGAATAGTTTGTCCTTCATGCTTAACTTGGTGAAGGAGAACTTTAATATGTACTGATTTAGTGTCAGTGTTCATACTTATTTACACAAAACACCTCCTTTGTGACGTGTACAGTATACTGCACAATTAATAATAGGAATAAGGGTCTGCTTCCCTAATTATATCTACATTTGATGTTTGCATGTTTTTAATTTATGTGTGCACGAATGGCACAGCAGAATTTCCCCCAGTGATGTCTGATGGTAACTCTGCACTGACTACATATTGTGCATTATTTGAGATAAACTGTGGCTGTGAGAAGTGATATTCATGGCTTGCTATAAGGCCATAACCATGAGAGCTCTTTGCTTTTTGGCGGGTGCGTGTGTGTGTGTGTACTATGCGTGCAGTGATCAGTCAGGAGGAGTGCTATGACTGCCATGTTTTCTGAGCTGAGTGGACACTGTTATTTTGGTGTATTTGTGTGTGTGCACTCTGGTATGTGTGTGTCTGATTTGGTATGCTTTGAGTGATCAGTCATGCGAGTCGGTTGGGTTTAAACCACTAGGAGTCTCTGTACTCCAACACACCACCAAGAGATGGTTGACCAAACGCTGTTTGTGTACAGTTCAGTTAAGTTCAGTCATTTAATTACCCCACAGTCCAACTGACATCCCCGATCTTTTTAGAAATAGCCTACAATAACCGGTAGCAACTTCATTGAAAAGCCTGTTACTGTTCCCACGTCGGAAAGAGAAAATAAACATGTTTTCCTCTGTAATTACTTTCTAGCAGGGGATGTAATATTTGTTCTGGTTTTTGTTGTCTTTCAAGCCTGTAGTTGTGCCTTTTAATGGAAATTGAGAGAAATTCAGTGTTTAAATTTCAGTTGTTTCAATGTCTTGTTGGATTCTCTGAATGTTAGACAAAATATATTACTTTGTGGACGGACCGCACAGTGTGAAAAAACACTTTTGTGCAACAGTGACTCAATTTTCTAATGTTGAGTGTTATATGTGGCAGAAAGTCAGCTATTAGAATAAGTCATGTTTTCTTTTTGTGTTCTAGTAATGAGTAAGTCCCAGTCCGCTCACAGATATATTTTGCTTTATGGTTACTTCACCTGGATGTCTGACACTAGAAGGTGGTTTTCACATTAATCTGCAGGAGGGGTAAAGTTTCACACCTTTAATCTGAGTTTACCTATAAGCATGATTTGGTGACACAACAACTAGTTCAGAAGCACATCATGGTCACACATACTGTGTAAGTATGAATGTGGAAAGTTAAGGTCTCAAGTGCAGATACACTGGACATTTCAGTGAAGTAGGGGACATCTTGTGTCCAGCAGTTAGAATTTTGAAATTAGAAATATTTGCTTATTCATGTATTCAGTATTTTTCTATGAGAGGAAAGGAATCGATATAATTACAAGAATTCTTAACTCGCAAATCACTTTTTTTGTGGATAAACATTAACAGACACAAATTATTAGTTCACACTGGTGGTAACAGGGTGATCTGGAACCGAAAGTGAGTGTACAGCTAATTTTCCTTCAGTCCTCTATAGCAATAAAGAGTACATATAACGTAGCACCCCATATGAATTACGTTAGAATAATGCTAAAATTGGAAAGGTGTGGAGAGAGAAAATCTAAGAAATTAATGATTCAGGGTTAATATGCCTTCAGAACAGAACATGATTTTTAAAGGGTTAGCTCAACTACAATCAGCCACCCCTGAAGTAAGAGTGCAAATTAAACTGTTGGCGATTTACACTCAGCTGAGATCCAGCTCATATTTTAACATAAAAGCTCTTTTTTGGTGAAATCAGCTGCATAAATACACAACTTGGAAACTAAAGTCAGCCTCATACAGTCGCTCAATATTGAGCAGAACCAACACATCTTCCATATTTTAGGAAACTATTGAAGTTGTTGATAGGGTGACATACTGTCAAAGCTGAGCCTATCAGAACAAAATGAACTGTAATGCAGCATTTCAGACAATGATATAGCATTCAAGCTCTATGCATTACATCAGTATATTAATTAAAATGTCACATGACATACAATATTGATAATAGATTAATATACTTTGTCTCCTGGATCTGCAGGCTAGGTAATGTTAAATTATCCCCGTCTTGCCAGTAGCCAAGCACCTCTCTGGTACGATGTGTTGTTTTTGTACCCCACTGCAGGTATTTCCTAAGTGCTCATAAGTCGCACAAACTTCACAAGATCGATACTTAGTTGGTTATAAAGCCAACTGTAAATAATGCATGCAAAAAGCTCTCTGGCTGGATGGAGTAGGCGAGATGCAAGTGCATTTGGAAACTGTAGTTTGCATGTTTGAAAGAAGACTTGCAATCAGTTGTTGTTAGTGTTTCTATAAGGCATTATCTGTTATGATAAAATAAGTGGCTGCTGAGTTGAATAATGTGACAGTTAACTGATCTTGTCCTCATAATGGCTATCATCCAGCTGCTGAGACTCTCCCTAACAGGCCTGTATTATACTCTCTGCCTTTTCTGTCTTGGTTCTAATGTTCGCATTGCTTTTCCGCCGTCTCAATTTCTGGATTATCGATCATCGTCTGTGGTTTGACACATTAGCTTCCAGTGATGGAGGTCAGCATAATCTGATCTTACTCTTTACTCTGTGCAGGAGCCTCAGAAAAGCAGGGATCAGTAAATGATACTTACAAAATAGACGAGTTCCCAATTTCTTGTTCTGGGTGACTTTGAAATGAGGAAAGGATCAGTCAGTACAGTCACTCATAATTCGCCCAAGACAGGTCCAGATGACATGTGAAAGAATCATGATTGTCCAATCCAGGCTGAATTTAAATCGAAAAAACTTGACTAAAATTGTCCTCATAATTGTTCTAATCTAGTATAATTCATGCACTCAGTTTATGCTGACAAAAACATTATGTTACACACAACTCCTGCAAGTTGTGGGTTCAAATAATGTTTTTTTCCTTCGGATTACAATTTTTCTAGTCATCTCTGCTCTTATCTCTAAATCTAATGTATCGTGTGACTGATAAGGTCCAATCTTATCTTATTATTTGGCAATGGTATCTGATTCCTCTGAGCAATGTTCCCCCATGATTCCTGTAATTGCACACCAGTCTTGCTCCAGCTGCCCACAAGATCATATCAGTACATCCATGTGGTTGTGATGATGATGATGACAATGATGTCAGTGTGTATTTTTTGGTTAATTTGGGCCATGGGCTTTGCCAGGGCAGTTACATCTACAGGATGATATGAATTCATGACATAGTTGCTACCCACTCTCCATATTCATGTGTGTATTTGTGTGCGTGCAGCCACCATATCGCTGATTTCGCTTCCCACACAGACACCGCGATGCTTTGGTCGAGGACCGCGAATGCATGACTGCAGCTTGTAGCACAGACGGGAAGACAGAGGAGGAGGAGAGACTAGAGAAGAGAGCAGGGGAGGGAGGCTGATAAAGCAGGGAGAGGAGGAAAGGAGGTAAAGGACCACCCTTATCGAGCATAGCGGCTCCCAGGGAGCCTACCAAAGGGACCTTCCTACACACACACCATTGCCAGCCAGCCAATCGGTGCGCTCACATCCTTGACCCATCCTCCCTCGTACAACTGCTCATCCACGGCTCAGCGAAGCAGATGTGAGGCGATGCGGGCAAGGAGGAAAGCACTGCTTTAGATATATTCATATCAGGATAGTAGCATCAAGTCAGTCTGTACATCCTGCGGCTTGTGGACAGGCATTTTAGTGTGTTGTCTGTATCTACCTCTGTTTGCAACTTTCAGTTTCTGAGCTGGTGACATTATTTTTCCTCTCACTGATTTTGGATATGCTGTGTAAGAGAGGAGGACAAGGGGGATTTTATGAGGCTTGACGATGATGACAAAGCATGCTGGACAAGTGACAATCTTGACAACGAGACAGCGGGACAGTGATTGAAGAGGGGCCATGAGAGCCAGGAGAGAGGCCAGGATGGTGTCTGCCTGTTCACCATGCACAAACATAAGGTCAGGTCTGATTTCTGTTACCTTTCTTTTAGCTGTGGTACTTTGTTATTCTCTAGTCTTGAGTTTGATCAAACGGCACGTAAGCTGACATACATAGAGGATAAGATGCAATTAATATGAAACCTAATGTATGTCATTAATAACCTTTTATATTTGAAAGAAATTACCGTTTGTAGCATTGGTACATTTCAGTGTTTATATGAGAGATAGGATATAACATGGGTTCCAAAGATTTAACCACAGAACAAGGCGAGTGTAAAACATCAACATACTGTATCTGATTTACACTGTCACATATACTACTATATGAACTACTACTCTATAATCCGTTATATACTATATAATCAACAATTGGTCAGCTGGCTGTCTAATAATCACACTTTGAGTATCTACTGAACTAAGTGCTAATATAGTTGCCACTGACATGGCCTAGACGACCCTGGTATTGTTCTGC